ACCTCACTGGAAGATCAACTACGTCTTGCCCCACCTCCAGAAGCCCTACCCAGTCAGTTGCCTTCGTGACCACCAAGCCCATCACCCTTGCTCCACTGCTTCATCTAGGCGCCCTGATTTTCACTCTTGAAACACAACCCCATGCCTTTTCACAACAGACACTCTTCGCGGGTTACATCCAGCCTTCCTGCCTCCTTTAGACCCTCATTCGTGTGCCTCTTCTCAAGGAGGCTGTCTCTTCTTTTTTAATTAACTTTTTCAGTCCATGTCCAAAGCATCAGTGTGTAAGGACACTTCCTCACACGTGTGTCCTCGCAGTTTCTTCATGCTTACTCATGCGTTACCCTCACCATTCTTCCTCCCCCCACTTCTTGGCTTTCTTGCTTCTTTCTTTCTAACCACATTATTAAATTAAGATCATTCCTGAGCTGTAATTCAGCTAATAGAATTCATTGGTTTGCCATTGTCCTAACCAAATATAGTAGGGCCCCTTCAACCTTAGTCCTGCTTTTATGGTTTCTACTACCTATAGTCAACCGTGGTCCAAAGGTATTGAACAGAGAATTCCAGAAATAAACAGTTCCTACATTTGAACTGCTTGCCTTTCAGAGAAATGTGGAATCTTGTTCTTGCCCCATTGTGCACAAGGCAAGGATCGTTGCTGTTGCCTGCTTCTACTGCAGTAGCTGTGTTCTCCCACTGCGAAGCGGTCAGTAGGCATCTTGACTATCAGGTCACAGCATTATAATGCTTACAATGGCATAAGCCGCACGTTATTTAAGATGCTTTCGAGATGCACCCGCAGTCATGCTGGCACCTTGGAGGGTAGTGTCATAGTTGTTCTTTCTACCGTCAGTAATTCAGGTATTTTCTTACAGTACCTAACTCTTCAACTAAGATTTGCCGCAGGTACTTATGAAAGGAAAAACATTGTATCTATAGATGGTCCCCAGTGTATATAGTTTGTCTTAAAATTTTCCCCTTCATGATGTTGCAAAAACAACGCATAGTTTTTATTGTATCCTTCCTAGCAATCTATGACACGTAACATACTCTCTGGGGAGTCTCGGCAGCTGCAGTAGGGCCCCAGCCTTCATCAGCCACGCAACAAAAACTCTTCAGCACTCCATGGCACTAAACTGTGATGCTTGAGACCTTAAATGTGTTAGATATGATTTCAACTTACAATATCTTTGCCTTCAATAGCTTGTCTGGGTGTCACCACATCATAAGCTGCACATAGGTGGAGGAATGCTCTCATGGGATTTGGTGACTTGTAGTTTCATGCATCTTCAAGGGTATGCAAACATACTCCTCATGACTAGAGGGGACTGCAGCATGTGCTTTTTGTGTGTGGGGGGTCGTTTCTTGTTTTTGCTGTTTCGTTAATGAGTGTATTGACTCCCTTTTCTACAATCTGATTACCATTTGTCTTTGAATCTGTTAAGAATACAGAAAAGAAGAAATACACATAGCAATCAAAATGTTTGTGTCACCAAAGAGGATTTAACAGATGGCAAGTAAACCCATAAAGAGATATTCGACATCATTAGTCATTAGGGAAATGAAAATCAAAACCATTGTGAGTTACTATTTCACATCTATCAGAATGGCTAAAACACACTGGACTTGGGGTGCACACCTTTACTCCCAGCAATCAGGAAGCAGAGGCAGGTGGACCTCTGTGAATTCAAGGCCAGGCTGGTCCACAGAGTAAGTTCCAGGATAGCCAGGACCACAAAGAGAGAGAACTGTATCAAAACAAGCAAACAAATAAATGAGAAGAGCTAAAATTAGCTCGGGAGATGTTCCAGTGAGTAAAGTGTGTACCCCAGGCATGAGAAGGTTTAAATTCCTGGAACTCACATAAAGTCAGGTGATGCACATCTGTAGTCCCAGAAATCCTACAGGGAAGCAGGAGGCAGAGACAGGAGGATCCCCACATCCCAGATGTTCTCAGGCCCGCTAGGCTGAGAGCAAAAATAGCAGCAAACACGTTATTCCTATCTGCAACCAAATGGAAAGCAAGAACTGACTCCCAAGGTTGTCCTCAGAACTACGCCTACACACACATGCACATCACACATACTGTGACATGTGTGTACACAGACATTATACACATATATACATCATACCATGTACACAAACACCCACACTGTGACATGTATATATGCACACATATACATTATACATACTCACACGCACACACACACACACACTCACACACACACAAATATGATAAAAACAAGTGATCATAGCAAGCTCTGGAAAGGCTGCTGGGACGAAGCAGCACAACATCTCTGAAGCAACTTCAGCGCTCACCACACAGCTCAGCAAGGTCGCTCCTGGTCACTGTTCCAAGAAATAAAAGTGAGTTTGCACAAAGACCTCCACATGAGTATTCATGACATGTTTATCCAAAATAACTACACATAGCCTAAATGCCCTCAGTGGGTAAGGTTAAACAAACCAGAACATCTGTTCCATGGTACAGTGCTCTGTCACCAAAAGAAATGTCATTTCTTAGTAGGCCTGTTAAATTAAGCATGAGTAAACAGGGTCATTAAAAAACACCCTTTGGGCTGGAGAGATGGCTCAGCAGTTAAAAGCACTGACTGCTCTTCCAGAGGTCCTGAGTTCAATTCCCAGCAACCATGTGGTGGCTCACAACCATCTGTAATGAGATCTAGTGCCCTCTTCTGGCCTACAGGCAGGATACTGTATGAATGAATGAATAAATAAATAAATGAATGAATAAATAAATAAATACTTAAAAAAATAAAATAAAATAAAAGCCACCCTTTGCTGGACTTCACCTCAATGGATGTTAACTATGAGTTCAGTATGTAAGCACTACCACGTTAGGAGCAAGAACCATAGAGAAGGCTTAGCACTGCCCTGCCAGCTTGGATGCTGGTGCAATGAAGTAACAGCCAAGTCTAGTATGAAGCACTCGCTGGGAGTGGCACCAAAAACAGCTCTGTATTCAGCTGAGGGAAGGGGTGCAGGAAAGGGTTCTACGTACCACTGAGGGAAGAAGGCAGCCTGGGCAGAAAGAGAAAGACAGAAGCTTCCACAGCAGAGAAGATGCCACAGGTAAGCACTCGTCTGTAGGGACCGGAGAAATGATGCCTGGAGGAGGTGGAGGGGGCTGGGTCCTGAGGAGGGCGGACAACAAGCAGACCCAGGGCAAGGGTTTTCCCAAATACTGAAAGTGTTCTGGTTGTGATGAAGGTTCAAGGAACCACTGGACAGGAGCAGGCTGTCCAGTTTCCTGGGGTTATTTTCTTTCTTTGCCCATTGTTTATTGTTTGGTCATTCATCTGTTCTGCAGGGATACATGGTGCAGTGCACACATTTGTCACTTCTCCCTTCTACCATGTAGGCTTCAAATAGCAAACTCAAGTCGCCAGCCTTGACAACGGACACCTTCGCTTGCTGAGCCATCTCACTGACCCTGGGTTCCTGATTTCCATAGCCCACCTTTATATGGCCTCCTCTCCTCTCCTCTTCCCTGGTGACACCCCTCCTACCTTCAAGACCAAGTTCAAACCCCACCTCCTTTACACCCTTACGGAGGGGATTCTCTCCTCCAGACAGCAGGTACCAAATGGTAGCATACATGTCGTTGGCGGGGATGTTTACAGTCGGAAGCCAGTCTGCCCGAGCCGTAATCATTTCCTAGTCACCCGTCTGTGTTCAGTCACCCCATCTGTGAAGCAGAAGTACATGGAAGGCTCTCCATGGTGCTGCGCACCTTTGGTCCTGGTGCTCTGGAGTCAGGAGCAGGAAGCCAGCTTGAAGCCAGCCCAGTCTACTCACAGTAGTGAGTTACAGGACAGCCAAAGCAACACAGCAAGACCTTGCCTCAAAAAACAAACAAGCTGGATGGTGGTGGCATGTGCCTTTTATCCCAGCAGTCGAGAGGCAGAGGCAGGAGAATCTCTTTAGGTTCGAGCCCAGCCTGGTACACAGAGTAAGTTCCAGGACAGCTAAGGCTGTTAAATGGAGAAACTCTGACTTGAAAACCAAACAAACACGCAGCTGTCTCAGGACGGAATAAGCAATCAATTAAAAAGCAAGTGCTTGGTGAGTGTTACTCCTTGTCATTCTGGCTGCCACGCCCCTCCCCCATCTGCGGCCAGCACAGGCGAGGCAAACCTTGGGACACAGGAGCACAGACGTCCATGTCCTTATCTCTCTGACAGTCACTCCTAACTATGACCGGACACGGTCTTCATTGACTGTCCTCAACAGATTACAAATAACCTTATGTGAGTTGGGCAGTGGTGGCACCTGCCTTTAATCCCAGCATTCCAGAAGCAGATGGATCTCTGAGTCTGAGGCCAACCTAGTCTAAAGAGTGAGTTCCAGGACAGCCAGGGCTACACAGAGAAACCCTGTCTTTAAAATCAAAAACAAAAACAAAACAAAAACAAAATCCTTACATTTCACAGGTAATGCCATCTAGATCGTGACTCAGAATGGGCATCGTCCTGGCTCTGCCTCTTGCTCCCAGAATGACCTAGGGCAGGTACCTTTTCACCTTTCGGAACCTCCATGCTTCCGTCTGTCGTCTGTACAGGGAGTTGCTGTCGGCGAAGGAAGGTTAAGAGGCACTTGGCAAAGGACTGATGTAAACGTGATTTCCATTTCCTGCTGCGAGCCACATACCTCCCAGCCCCTCACTTTCACTTCCAGAAGGAACACACTCTTTAGTACAGCTCCTCTGGCAGGAGTCCAGTGCAGGGAGCAGGTACATTTTAATGCGCCACACCCACGGACTTGCTGCATTCTGGATCTCCTCCTCCGGGGACTTTCCTGACTTCCCTTCTGTAAATGAAGGAAAGAGCACATCACATGAGCATACTGTACATAAATATGCTTGGGAAAGCTTTCTCCTCCTTCTTCTTCTTCTTTTTTTTTTCTTAAACCAAACTTGGTTTCTGTTGTAGGCGGCACATTCCCTAGCCTGGCAGGGCGGGCTGCAGCGAACCATCAGGGGAGGCGGGAATAAAAAGGGGAGGAGAGGCAGAACATTAACTCACCCAGTGTGACAGCTGCTCTCTTATTTAATGGGGGGGTCTCTGGTCAGAAGGAGTCAGAAGTGCCTCCAGGAGAGCAGAAGCATGGCTGAGGAGCTGAGGCTGGGCTTCGAGGAAGCAGTCAGAGTGGAAATGCCAGAAGGCAGAGCCAGGCCAGCCGCCAGGAGCAGAGCATGTTTGGCTCTCATCTGCTGCCTGATGTCACTTTTCACTGTTGCAGGATTTAGCACCTTCCTGATGGTTGGCCAGCTCAGGGCCCAGGGAAAAGACTGTACGCCGCGGGTAAGTACGCTTGCTCCTGCCTGGGGACTCAGTGGTCTCTCTCCAGGCAGCTACCTATGTCAGAACTGTTCACGGACAGCATTGCCAGCTTCTCCGTACAGAGAAAGTAGACTGGGAGGGTGAGAGGTGGAAAGGTCCCATCTGGTTCTTAACTCTATTTCCAGGGAATTGAGTTGTTCTATCTCATGTTTATACAAGAACAACTCCACACTCCATTTTTTTAAGATAATTACAATCATAGTGTACTGATACTTTGGAAACATTCCCTTTTCTTAAAAACAAAAGGCTCTAAAATTGTTTTACATAATGCACGGGTGTTGAGGTGAAAGAAATAGAAATCACAGGCAAGGAAATGAAGAAAAAGCCTTACTCATAAATCCTGAGAGGTGAAAACTATTAACTATCTAAAGTACATAATTCCTTTCTGTTTTTAATAAAATGGGATTATTCTGAGCTTCCTACACAGTATGAAGCTATGTTTTGTTTCTACAGTAATGACTCTATGGCGTATGACTGGCTGTACTATGTTCCTATATGTATAGGCTAAAATTTGTTTAACCAGTTCCCCTTCTTGGGTTTATAAATATTCTTCAGTGCTCAGCTGAGAACCTACTGAGCCTCAGGTCTCCCTGGAGAAGCTGTCACCAAAAGGCTGTGGGACTGGAGTTTGGAGAGTGAGGGTCCAGGTGTCCAGGAGGAGACCAGGAGTCCTGGGAACTCCCAGGAAGGATCTAAAAAGTCAATGTGTTAGTTAATGACTGTTCTTTAGGGGGAAATGTCCCACATGCTCTGTGAAGGCTGATTAAATTTTAGTCCCCAAGGATTCAACTATAAAGGAGAAAATGGGCAGCTTAATTGGAAACCTGGTCTCTAATCAATCCTGTTCAATTTCCACATTGTGGCTAATGTGTAACTCCTGCCACTCCATCAGGGTCAACAAACAGTGACTCCGGCAGCCACGTGCCATGACTTATAAAATGCAGACATGTGCAAGTAGGGCAGAAAGGCTGCTTAGGTTAGAAGGGAACTGGAGGGAATGAGAAATGAGAGGTCAGGCTTTGACCCCAGACACACACACACACACACACACACACACACACACACACACCTATGCACGCACGCACGACTGAGATACTTCAGGGAACTCTCCAATCAGAAGGGGACTGCTGTCTTGAACAAAGTATTACTAAATGGCCTCCAGCAACCTGTGCCTCCCTGGACTCTGAAGGGATTCCTGACGCACAATAGGATTCTCTTACCAGGACGCTGTCTGAAATCCTCATGTTAGCAGAAGCCAAAGAAGCCATCTAGGCTACCAGTGGATGCTGCAGTCCAGGAAAGGGAGCTGGCAGGGGAAGCGACCAGACAGGAAGACTCTCAAGGAGGGAACTAAGTGTTATCACAAACAGCAACAACTCAGAATCCCCTTCTTGCCTCCCCTACTCAGGTGCTCGAGACTTGAACCACACTAATATCTAATACCTCCCATCCCATCACAAAGAAAACAGTCTCCTTGGCAGCGGGGCATGGATTGGGGGAGGTACACAGCGATGCTTGAGGGTGTTGTTTAGCCAGGCTATAGGACATCTTAGTGCATCAAAACAGAAAAGAAAAGAGGGTGAGACTGGGGTGGGTGTGCGGGGTATTATGGATTTGTAACAGTAATGAATGTACAGTTACAAAGTAGCAACAAAATAATTTTATAATTGGGGCCATCACAGCATAAGGGACTATATTAAAGGGTTACAGCAATAGGAAGGTTGAGAAAAAACATTTTAGAGGATTCTAGAAGGAAGCTAACCCTTGGAAAGGACCTGATTAGAAAATGCAAAAGTTTGGACAAAGAAAAGGGTGGGCAGAGGGAGCAGGAAACATTGGCCATATTCCTCTTTAGCCCTTTGACCAGACTAGAGTGGGAGCCAGGGCACAAAGAAGCCAGGTAGGAGCCATTCCAAGAGGCTAGGCTGGCCAGGGAGGAGTCACACTGAGGAGAACAGAGATGGGAGAAGAAACTAAGTCAAAATATGGCTCTCAGATCCCTGTGCTTAAAACCCAGTTCAGTTATTTGTGCCCAAGTGAAGAACAGGCTCCTTGCTTCACGTCTTTGAGCTGTTTCTTCTTCAGTCAGAAGGGGGCGTTTATGTTAGCATGCTGACAGTGTTAATAAGGCAAGTGCGGGGGCATTTTGCATGGCCGGAATGTGGCCAAATGGCATGCTCAGGAGCCTGGGATATGTTTACCATTCTAAGCCTGACTGAGGAGGAAAGAAGCTACTTCCGCCTGCCTGTGCTACAGTGTTTCCCTAGCCTGGCCACAGGGCAGAAGCCTTTGTTTTGCAGACAGGAAAGCTGAAGGGGTGGAGACTTCTCCAAGACTATTTCTCTAGTTGGAGGCAGATTCTGGCTTAAAACCAGACAACATTAGCCCTGCTCTGCATTCTGGCTGTGGGGATTATTCCCACTGCACTAGGTTCTAGATATTACACGGTGAGTTGAAAAGAAAGCTTCCGCAATACCAAGGAGGAAGGTCACAGCCGCTACCCCACGGCAGCCCAGTGAGGACTTTCACAAATCCACAGCACACTCACAATCACCCACCAAGGACACCTAACTTGGCAGGAAATTAGGACTGTGTGTGTGTGTGTGTGTGTGTGTGTGTGTGAGAGAGAGAGAGAGAGAGAGAGAGAGAGAGAGAGAGAGAGAATGAATCAGAGAGGTGGCCTGGCACTCTTACGCTGAGGAAATATAATTGAAAACAAAATTCTCTGCCAACCCAGAAGATCTCTCTCTCTCTCTCTCTCTCTCTCTCTCTCTCTCTCTCTCTCTCCCTTTCTCTCTCTCTGGAAAGGCTGAAAAGAAAGAAATACTTTTATTATTGAATAATCCTTAAACTAAAAACTAAGATGTGATGCAGGCAATGGACTTAGAGGTTGCAGAGGCGCAGAGAAATTGCTCTTTGATATGCATGGGCAGCAGATACCGCCCAGCACTCACAAGTTCAGTGTAAAGAGCCAAGCAGCGACTCACAGCAGACACATGAGCAGATGCTTTGTTCCTGGAGGAGCTCACCTACATGTGTGCATTTATAAATGCGTGGAGTAGTTCAGGAAGGGCTGAGGAGTAGAGCTTCTCGCTAACGTGCAAGGAGGGAGGCAGGTGGCTGAGCCAGTCAAGGAGGGAAATGCTTACAAACATTCCTTGAACGAAGTGTTACGTGTTCCCTATTTTAAAAAAAAATAGAGGCAGTGCAGTGTTTTAGGATCTTCAGATTTATGGGAGGCTAAATCTGCATTTTGCATTTTGGAAAGGCCATGAGTCCTGAGTTGAAATCTCAAACCCAGTGCGAGTTCTAGTTCTCGCCACTAGCTAGTTTATCATCTCTCTTCCCTCGGCCTCTGCTTGCATTTGTATAAAATGTAGATAATTAGAAACAGGGTATGTAAGGTGTCTGGCATTGTGGAGATTAGTCAACAGCAAGTTTACATCATCATGCTGAGCAGGGAAATTCCCTCCTTGGGCGATTACTTCACAGAGTACAACTTCCCTACCTGCTGTGGAATCTGCCCTTGCAGGACAGAGAGCAGGTCTGGGTGCTGTGGAGCTTTTCTTGACCTTAAGAATGTCTCGGCGGCCCCAGTTCTGCCCTACAATCACCACAACCTCTCCCCTCAAACTGCTTTGTCAGTTGCATTTGGTTCCACTGCTGCAGAGCAGGTGCACTGGCTCTGTGTGACGTCATCCTCCCTCAGCCCCAGCAGAGCAGATGCTGGAGCCGCTTGGCCCCATGCCAGGCACAGACAGTCTGGTACCGGATTCTGTGCAGTAGATCGCCTGGACAGTGTAGCAGGGCTTCCTGCTCGGCCTACCACCTTCTGTGCGGCCCTCCCAGACGCTCCTCACATTCTCGCCAGTCCCTTTTAATCTCATTTCTCCACCTTTCTGATAATTCCTGCAAGCTTCCACTATTTTCTGTACCTCACACACCAGAAAAGTCTGGAACATATTAAATGATCAATAAATGATCTATTTCCTCCTGGAAAGGTACCAACTGTGCCTGGCAAAGACATTCACTTGGTGTTTTCTGGATGGAAAGGAAGATAAAATACTGGGCAATTTATCAGTCTTCCCTGACCCTCAGACACTCAGTCCACGAAGTCAAAGGATGAATGCACTTTCTTCCTAACACTGCCGTGGGAGTTCTGCAAGACTCCAAGACATCCAGAAAGCTATAAGCAAAGATGGATGCTCCCCAGAGGGCTTCCCTCCCCACTCTGCCTTGGACAGGACTCTTATCTTCCCAAGGTTTTTCTTGTTTGAAGGTAGACAATGCCCATAATCCCCAGCATTGTCTAGAAGACCCAAACAGATGAGATGGAAGAAGTGTGTCCAAGTCTGTCCCATAGTGGAGTCACCCCTGCTGCAACCCGAGGGAGAATGGCGTCTGCAAGTGGGGCTTAGCTCAAAAGTGAGGCTGTGAGCAGCTGCCAGGGACGACAGTCCCAGAGATTACATCCAAAGGCAGAACATCAAGCTGCAAGTCACCTCACAGGCCACACTGTCCCTCCCTCAAGCGAGCCTGCACCACAGTGAGCACCATACTAGCCCGGCAAACTCCTGTGCCCTCACCCAGTCCAATAGTGTACGCTGCCAGGCACCACAGCCCTTGCACAGCGTAAAGGTGTGTCCCAGCCTGCGCCTCGTGGCACACAACAACTGAACAACAGCAAGCTGAGGGTTTGAAATGGACAGTTCGGCTTCTTCACATATTGGCATTATCAAAGGCGACGTTCATAGCAAACTATGGCTCTATCAAACCTACAAAGGGTCTGTGTTTGGGGAAAGGAGTAACGCCACCCCTAAACTTATAAAGGATCTTAAATCCACTGCTTCTCATAAAACATAGCCAATGGCAGCTCCTGTTTACAGACAAAGTTATAAAAGCCTAAAGAAGAAGGCACAGACAGCACAGTGTTGCTTGGGCCCAAAGAAAGAAGGAAAAGAAATGAATTCATAGCAATTTTAAGTGCAGCCTCCCTGAGCCACAAGGGTAGGCCTGCCAGAAAGGAATCTCTGAGGTCAGCTGCTGTGCTAGGATCGGGAACCAAGAAATAACGAAGTTGGATTTCCGAATTTACTCTGCTACTAATGTCTGACTCTTGGCAAGTGTGATCCAGGCCAATGAAGTCGATGACAGAATGAAATGACTTCATGTAAGCCGTTTCCAGAGGGACTGATCCTTGTGAAATACACAGAGAAGAAGCCTCACGTGCCCTGATTTCTCCTAGATGTGCTGGGTCATAAAGCACAAATATCTTTTCAATGGCAGCTATTATGACAGCAAGAAATGAATATAATTTCCTGTTTGTGAACAGGATAGACAAGGACAGGTGACTACAACGAGTGGGAAGGAAGGCTAAGTGGATCATTAGTTTAAAAACACTCACAGGAATTTTTCTGGGGAAATGCCAGGAAGTCTCAAAGACCTCCCCACCGCTAATCCGTTTGCTGTGTTCCCTGTGAATGCTTAGAAAGAGCCTGGTGTACCCCAGGAAGCAAATTTGATCCAAAGGTTCAGATCCCAGGCCCTCTCCCTCCCTTTGACTTTGTGAAGGCTCTAAACCCCAGTGATGAAGCTCAACTTGCTCAGACTATTAAAAGGCTTACACACCAATGCCCAGTGCAGAATTCAGCAAGAAGGAACACTTGGCTAAGTGGCCATGTCCTCCTTCCCACAGCCTTTCTTCTGTGTGCAGTAAAGGACACAGTCAGTTTGAGCCAGCAGCCACTACTAGTCAACATACCAAAAAGAAAAAAGTCAATGAAAGAAGGAAAATCATAAAATGGTGATAATGTTGCAACCTGTAATCGTTAGAGGTAGAGGGATGAGTGGGGAAATTACTAATTATATTTCCAGGGCTAATGCGAGCGCCAGGTCCTGGACACCCCACTGTCTCACTAAGATGTCTGTTCATGAGCGTGCACATTAGCTTTCTTTGTTTTGTTTTGTTTTGTTTTGTTGTTTTTTCTTCTTCTTCTTCTTCTTCTTCTTCTTCTTCTTCTTCTTCTTCTTCTTCTT